AAGTGTGTCACCTGCCGGGCTGTTTGATGTTTGAGAGGAACATACATCTCAAGATGAAAGCTAATGGCAGTGAGAGGCGGGTCAATGACTTATGGGGGGAGGAGTGAATGGTGAATGATGGATGTTAAATGAAGGTGGGTGCTGAAGCTTCAAAGGGTTATATTGTGGAGATGCAAGATTTCAGGGAATTCAGAGTAATCTGCTTCAGCACAGTAGACGACTCAGGTGTGTTTCACAACATGCAACAGTATATATATATATATATATGTGCGTCTTTAGAAGGCCATGCCTCCCTATTAAAATATTTTTTAAGTATGGATACATATGAATGTATGGCAAGGGATTCCCAGAGCACAATGGGCAATCTAAGGAGACGGCGCGACAGCAGCTGCCTGATTTAAAGCTTGCTTTGTCTGTATACACTGAGTGGCCAGATTATTATGACCACCTGACGTTTGTAGGCAAATTAGCTATAATTTGGCGCTGAAGTTGCTAGAGGGCCAGACCATTATAAATAGGGAAGCGGGTTGTTTACCAGGACAGTAGAAGTGATTTGTTTCTGAAGATACGGGGAAACAACGCGATTTAACAGCCTTTGAACGTGGGATGATTGTTGGCGCTCGGAGCCATGGAGCGAGTATCAGCAAAACAGCAGAATTCGTTAAATGTTCAAGAGCAGCTCATTGTTAAAGTGTTTAAAGACCGGACTGTCAGCCGAAAATAACATTTTTTTTACTAGAAGAGGAAAGTAGACAGGTAAAAATGCAAAAATAATAGGGGTGCGGAAATTAACGATTAATCTGTCGATTAATCGTTAATTTCTTTGATCGATCAAAATAATTTTGATCGATCAAAGTACTCACCTCTCTGCCGGCTTCCCGGTCTTCCATCGGAGATCCGGTGACGTCACGGACATCGACGTCACCGGACTCCTCTCACCCTCCACGAGTGGCTCTGTCGGCTAACGAAGGGAAGGGGGGAGGAGTCGGGTGATGTAGTTGTCCGTGATGGGTAACGAAGGGAAGGAGGGAGGAGTCCGTTGACGTCGATGTCCGTGACGTCACCGGACTCCTCCCCCTTCCCTTCGTTACCTGAACGGAATCACTTGGGCCTGTGAGTCTCCTGGTTACTTAAGTGCATCGGATGTGAAAACCAAAGAGAGAAATAAGAGGGCGCAAAACTAGGTCAGCTGACTGCCTGGACCGAACATATCACGGAAGGTGACGGTAACATCTACTTTTCTTTGCCATTTTCCATTGCAGAAAACTATCAATGTGCACACACATAAAATTCTTCTTTTTGAGCTTCCTTCTTTCATTGAAAAATGAATTCCAGGCATGTTTTATAAAAGTAAATCATTTATTTTACAGCCAAAAGAAAATTTGTAACATTTAAAAAAAAAAAAAAAGTCTCCTAATCTACAAAATGCTGGAATAAGGTGCCTGCTGCATTTCCTGATAAAATCATCTCTGGTCATAAAATGTTTGTATTATTTTGGATGGAGGGTTAGAACCTGGGGAGATTTCCCTTCACGTCCTGTCCCGGTGACGGGTGTCAGCCAGAAAAGGAAGTGAGGGGAAAATCTCCCCAACTGGGACACATTGAGAATTTAAAAGGTTCTAATCTTTCCTCACTCCATCTATCTTCAAAAAAACTAAAATATTTCATCTGGAGACTTTAATAAGAGCTTTGTATTAGATCTTCAGGATATGCCGACCACAAGATAATTTTGTAATGCCCTCCATGGTAAAGTGCCATATGGATGCTCCGTCTGGTCTGGGTCTCACATACATGATAAGATGTCTGGGTTCCTCACAGTAGCGTAGGTGACGGTCAAATTATCCTGGGAAGAATTGTGAAAGATTAGTAGGTGAAGACATTCTGACAACTCAGGATTACGGCCATAACGTTCTAGGACAGCGACGGTGAACCTATCGCGGGCCCTTCTCTGCTAGCACATCTATGGGTAATACTACCAATCTCAAATATAGTATAAAAAGTGCTTCATACTTACATTTCTTACTGTAGATCCTATAGAGACCGAAATACAAAAAAAAATTAAATAAATAATAATATTAATAATACTTTTGTCAAATGTTTATGTTCAGCAATGTAAAATTAACCACTTGCTGTCCGCTGCACTTTCTTACTATTTGCGCACACATGATAAAATATAACTTTTTGGCTAGAAAACAGCTTCAAATCCCCAAACAATGATATATGTTCTGAAAGCGGAGGCCCTGTAGAATAAAAAAATGTTAGTTGCAGTTTTTACGTCGCACGGTTTTTGCGCAAATGTTTATCAAACAAGTATTTTTAGGAAACAATAAACTAAATTAAAATTTAGTGCACAGAAACATAATATAATAGGAAATAAAATATGAAAGACGGGGTCACGCCGGGGTAAATAGATACCGAACATGTCAAGCTTTGAAAATTCTGTTCGCCCGTGAAGCCGCAGAAAAAGTCAATACCCAAAATGTCCCATAGGGAACACTTTAAATGCTTTTGCTGCTCATCAGTTTAGTGCTAACAGTGATTGATGGGCCTAGAATTATTGCTCGCACTCCAACGTTCGCGGCAATATGTAACAAGTATAGCGCAATTGTAATTTTCGCACGTAGGCGCACCGACGCGTGTTTTCGTGTTACTGTGCGTGCACGTAGGGGAGGGGGAGGGGGACTTAAACAAAACATTTTTGCTTTTTTTTATTTTTCTTATATGCTTTCAATTTTTTTAATTTTGAAACACTTTTTTTTTTACACTAACCCTATAGCTATCACATAGGGGGGGCTAACAAGCACCCTACGTAATAGCAGATAGGGTGTGACAGGTCCTCTTTATGGAGACATCAGGGGTCTTTAAGACCCATAATGTCACGTACGGACCCCAAGAACCTGGGGAAGCAGAGATCTGCTTTCCCAGCTTCTTCTCCTGGCTCTAGGAGCCGGAGACTGTGCACAGTGATACCGGAAGTGATGTAATACACATCACTTCCGGGTCCAGTGATCGCAGGAGAGATCTAAAACGATACCAAAAACACAGCTGCTGCAGCAGTCGTGTTCTTGTTTTAACCACTTCTGCGGGCCGCCGTTTATAGACGTATTGCGGCACGGAAGTGGTTAGGTTTATTATCAAAGAAAAACTAAACTCTGACCAAATAATACTTATTTTGTGGAGGATCACTAAGTTCACATTATTTCATTTGGAATTAAAATACAGTTTTTACAAAACTCTGTTCATGTTTATCTCTTCCTGTGCTGTGTACTTCCTGTAGGCTCTTTGTAGGTACTTCCTGTGCGTGCTCCAGCAGAATCTCATAGCTGCTATTTAGCAATACATACAGTATATTGTGGTTTTAGAATAAGGAACACTTTCTTTCGGTGCTATTGTCTTATAAAAATTGATTTCAATTTGCAGCAATTCATAGACAAAATATATCATTAAATTAAAACATGCACTTTTTTTTCTACTTTTATTAGTGTTAGGTTAAGAAAATATATTTAAAAGAAAAAAAAACAACAGAATCAAATTGTATGATAGTTAAGTGGAGAAGGGAAAGAATGAGTTAATTCTTCAATTTTAATGCAAAACTAGAAAAAAAAGGAGCAAAAAAAATGCAAAACTAAAAAAATAAGGAGCAAAAAAACTAAAATGAAAAAATAAAAATATTAATCAATATACATCTAGAAGGAAAAATAACAGCAGAATTAAATTGTATGATAGTTAAGTGGAGAAGGGAAAGAATGAGTTAATTCTTCAATTTTAATGCAAAACTAGAAAAAAAAGGAGCAAAAAAATGCAAAACTAAAAAAAGTTAGGAGCAATATAATTAAAATTAAAAAAGTTTAAATATTAATGAATAGAAATATAGAAAAAAAACAGGAGAAGGGAAATAATTAGTTGTTTTTTTTTCATGTTCAATTTTAATGCAAAACTAGAAAACAAAGGAGCAAAAAAATGCAAAACTTAAAAAAATTAGGCGCAATTCAATAAAAACGAAAACATTTTCAATATTAATAAAGAGAAATGTAGAATTAAAAAAAACAGCAGAATCAAATTGTATGATAGTTAAGTGGAGAAGGGAAAGAATCAGTTCATTTTTTTCAATGTTCAATTTTAATGCAAAACTAAAAAAATAAGGAGCATAAAAATGAAAAAAGTTTAAATATTAATGAATAGAAATATAGAAGAAGAAAAAAACAGCAGAATCAAATTGTATGATTGTTAAGTAGAGAAGGGAAAGAATTAGTACATTTTTTCAAATGCTCAATTTTAATGCAAAACTAAAAAAAATAAGGAGCAAATTATTAAAAATGAAAAAAGGTTAAATATTAATGATTAGAAATATAGTAATAAAAAAATCAGCAAAATCAAATTGCGTATTAGTTAAGAGGAAAAGGGAAATAATTAGTTAGTTAGGACTTATTAGAGTAAACTAAGGATCAATAATTGGGTACAAAAGAAAAAAAAAAACTTTTTTTATTTTGTACACTATTTTAATAATAAACTCTACTCGGAGTGTTTTTTTTATTTTTAATGCTTAAATTGTATGTGGCAATTACAGTATTAAACAAACGTCACCCTGTCACATTCAGACTGGAGTAGCATCTGAAGGCTAATGTTAGTGAAGCCTCCAGCCTGCAAGTGATCAATGTGTTGTATCTGATATAGGGGATCACATGACTGGAAACAACTTTGCTGGGTTCCTGATCCTTAGTGGGACCAGAGCTGCCATTGGCCGCCAGGATTGAAAGCCACCAGTGGCCAAGTGTCAGCTGGTGGCTCCCAAATGGAGGATATTTATTAACTTTTCCCCAGCACGGGGCATTGTACTGGAGAATGTTGCTATACAGACGGTAAGATTCATTTTAAATTAAATACATTTTTATTTTTATTTAAGATTAACATTAAAGATGACAGAAGTTTAAAACTCACATCGGTTAATTTTGGATAATTTTTGGCAAAAAACACTACGGCCACAAAATAGTTAAACTTACCTTTAGGCAAGTGGCTCAATTCGAGGTAGGTGTAGCAAACATCTTGTGGATCTGGGTTGGCATCGGTTACTGGGGGGGGGGGGGGAAGTCAAATAACATATTTTATTCAGCAAATGTAAAAAAAAAAGATAACAAGGTCATCAGATTAAAGTCCTCCAACGAGGGTCTTCCAACGAGGGTCCTCCTACGAGGGTCCTCCTACGAGGGTCCTCCTACGAGGCTCACTCATAAGTGATACAATGGAGGCCAGTAGGTTTGGTCAGCCCCTGGCTTCCGATAAGCTTTGATACTTTGATACTCCAAAAGTGAGATCCCCCCGGCCATAATTCCCGGCTTTGTTCCTGCTCCACGACTGTAAATAAAGCTGGAGGTGCATGGGCCTTTGTATGATCCGTGAAGCCCAACTCAAGTCTCTTTTCAGCTCTTTATAATCGTGTATGCCCCACATGTTATGATGTTGACTGGTTTGGTATGGAATGTTCTAAAAGAATCTTTTAGAGGGTTATTCATGACGGAGCCAAAGGATCCAGACGTAGCTTTGGCTGATCCTTTGGCTTGCTTCGGTTGCCGGAGCCCTTCGGTTCAGTCGAACAGAAGGGCTGCTGTGCGGGGTATTCACAATAGCCGGGCAGCTGAGCGCCTCAGCTGAGCCGAAACCATATGGTTCGGCCCCGGCTGAGCCGTATTCACAGCCGGACCTGACCGATCTCCACTCAGATGACAGCTGGGCGGATCCAGCTTTGATCTCACGGCTCACTCCGCCCAGTTGTAATGACAGATCAGCGTCTCCAGGTCATGACCTGGGGACGCTGATCTGTCATTAAACAATAACAACTGGGACGTCACAGCCGGCTCCGCCCAGTTGTTACTCATTGCCTGGGACCTGTTAGAAGACTCTGGCAGGTGCCGGGCCAATAGTAAACAGTTGGGCGGAGCTAGCGGTGATGTCACCGCTAGCTCTGCCTAATTGGGGTTTTTTTCCCCAGCATCTGTCAGATGCTTCATTATGAGGTGGGAATTCGTTGCGTGCGGTCAGGTTGGTGTGCATCATTTTTTACATTATTTTCTTTAAAATATTTTTCTTTTAATTTTTCTATTTTTAAAAAAATTTTAAATAATTTTTCAACATTTTATTTTATTTTCTCCTTCATTTAACTTTTTTCTATTCGGCTCGCTCCCTTAGAGGTACCGAGCAGAATAGCTCGGCGGCATTCGGCTATTCACTTACTGCCAGTTGGCCCCTAGGGGCAAAGGCAGCAAGCGAGCTGCTGGAGCTTCGGCTCAGCCGATCCAGATGTGTTGAACTCCTGCTGCACTTCGGCTCAGCCGAACATGCAGAGCATGTTCGCCTGCCTGAAGGCAGCCGATGTACAGCTTTCGGCTCACTTTACTTCGGCAGTTTTGTGAATAACCCCCTTATGCTCAGTGAAAATTCTGCTTCCTGCCCTCCCCCTCCAGTGCTCTGTGCTGGCAGAGCTAAGTAACAGCCTTATCCCTATGCAGACTTATATTGCAGAGACCAGATCTGTTACTGACTGCAGTGCGGTCAAACTCTGGTGCCTAATGGACCACACAATCACATTTAGACTTCCTGCTGTGTCAAGTAAATGGAAGATAAATCTACAGTGTATATCTTTCCACATCTATTTATATGACTTCAACTGGGTTTTAAGACTTATTTAACCCCCAACGTGTAATATATTGCAGCCTATCAGTTCTTAGATACGGTTGTTGCATCAACTTTGCCATTTTTCTGGCTGTTTTTACTTTATTTTCCCCTGGTGGTCCTGCTAGTAACACACTTCCTGTCCTCGGGTGGCAACGTTCAATCACTGTTCTGCATCTGTGGCAGCGTTGCCACCCTAGGCCAGTTTCCTGATTTGGACTACAAGCACATCCTGCTTTCTTCATCTCCATTACATAGGGGTGAGGAATTTGTACAGCTTCTAAGGAAGTTAACATGGTTTGTGATTCCGGTTCAGCTCACAGGAAGTAGTAAGGCGTTACATTTCTGTCAAGATCAACAGCTATTTTCTGTATGGAAATTGTTCTTGGCCTGATCTACAGACCGGGAAGTTGCAATATATGACGTTTTTGGGTTCATATTTACTTTAAGACATGACAGCACACCCATGATAACATTGTTACCCATTGTATCCGTCTCTTGGGGGGATGCTTGACTGGAAGCAGAAGATTCTTTTCTATTTCTACATCTCCAAATAATGACAGCAGAGAGGACAATGGCCAGAAGACCCCCAACTATGGCCACGGCAAGGATTGTCACAAAGAAAGCTCTGCCTGCAGGTAAAGAAAATACAATTACAATAAATATGGTTTAGGAGGAAAACACACAACATAGAAACATCGAGTGATGGGTAAGGATGTTGTATTCGCTAAGAAACACATAGACGTTCTATGTTTTCTATATAGTATGACTGAGACATGGACTTGCTATCCAGCAACCCTGGATTTTGCCAGCAGACATATAGTCTGTACTAAGGTTCTGTGGTCTGCTCAGCGGAAGACCCTAGAATAAGCCAGAGCAGACCCTGCAACTGCCATAGGGCCCAGAAGCATATGTAATATATGCTGGTAGTAGACCCATTGGGCAAATACATTGAGATGTTATATATACCGGTAGCACGGGAACCTATTTTGCATTGAAAGCAGTTAGTGTTTGTATCACTAAAGGAAATGCATTTGAGATGCAGGTTAGAGAGATGGGTGGGGGCTTTATTTTTTTTACTATTTGACACCATAATGCATTGTTACACCCATGACTTAGCATAGAAGATCTTCATATCTCATACACATCCAACTGCGGCCTACAAAGGCAATACTGAGCCATAAGAGATGGAGGCCACCCAATGCTATTGTTCCACTATGTGGTCTTTTACGTGTATGGATTGGCATTCTTCATTGTCTTAGAACTATTGTCCTAGATCTGTTCTTTACTGGAGTTCTTCCTTAAAGGATCGGTCTACCCAAAACTTAGATTTCTACCAGAGAGCTTCCTCTCCCTACCGGAGTCCCCAGCTGTACCAGCCAATGCTTCCTTGGTGGGTCACATCTTCTTCTGTATTGTCCAATATATACAATGTAAAACAAGACTCTTTGTCAGGAAGCCAGAGCCAGGATTCTTTCACGTGCACGCCGACGTGTTGTTTGAGTTCTTTGCGCTCTCTGGGCTATATAAGGCTGTGACTAACAAACCTCCTTTGCTGTCAGATTGTCAGCTTCCCTGTGTCCCTGTATCCTGCTCCTGAAGTGTTCCTGTTACCTTGACCCGGCTTGGCTTTGACCTTTCTGCTTCTCTTCAGTGATTTGACCCCCGGCTTGTTCCAGACCATCCTCCCGCCTCATCCTCTGTACCTCGCTGCCTGCACATTGATGACCTCGGCCTGTCCTGACTACCCTGCTATTCTTGTCTGCTGCTCCTGCTCATGGGATTCAGCTACTACTGGCACTCCTGCCCCTCTGTGCCCCTGAATGCTCTTGTACCCATTCAGGAGCCCCAAGACCAGAGAAGTGAGAGAGGCCGCCCTCGACATCTCAGACTCCCCCAAGGTACATGACACTCTTTATGGAGGCCACAGCACGTAGGTGTTGGTGACCTCAGGTGTGGACACATAAAGAAATATTTGAAGCTATCAGAAGACTCATCCCATGGAAACCCCCAAAACTGAAATGTTGGACTTTTTGGAGGGACTAACTCTTAATTAGAAGCGTGATAAAGACGGGACCAGCTTTGAAACACTTACTGTTTATCTGGATATAGAGCTCATTGCTCCTCTTCTTCACAGTGTCAGTCGCCGTCCTCACTTCACAAGTGTAATTCCCAGAATCCTCCAGCTGAGTTGATTGCTTTGTGTATGTATCAGATACACTGAAGTCCTGCACATTCTCTCCATCTCTGTAGAAGGTGAAGTACAGCTCTGTGCCGGCTCTGAGCGGATCCAGTTTGGTGTCACATGTCACTGCAATGTCATCTCCTTCTATTACCCAAAAAGAGGCCATTTTTATCTCCGGAGGAGAGAAGAGTTCTACAGGAGGAAATCACGACAATGATAAATTGCTGGATTCAGGTCGCTTGATTAAATCCTAATTTTTTGTTGTTGAGCAATTCACTTCCTGCAGTTACATCATCAAATGCAAGTAGGATAATTTTATCACATTACTCCCTGAAAAGAGATTCTGTGGAGCCACCAAATTCATAGAAGCCCAGAGGTGATCAGAGCCCGATACATGTATGGAGTACGGAAGGAAACCAGTATCACATAAACTAGTAACAAATACACAAGAATTTTGGAGATGGTGTTTCGGCTGGGAATTCAGTTCATAACCCCAGTGCTACAAAGTAAGACTAAGGGGGGAAAAAAAACAGTTGGAATAATTAAAGGGAACTTGCCATGAGAACAGTATGTACAGTAAGCTGCTATTGGTGAACATGTTACATAGTTACATAGTATTTGAGGTTGAATAAAGACATATGTCCATCAAGTCCAACCCATGATGTTGGAAAATACATTTGTCTTGTTTACATGCTTCACAATCTTTTGTCTACAACACTTTCTGTATGACCATCTGAGAACATTTGTGTAAGTGACGTTCGGATTCCTGATCTGATCATTGTTGCTCTGGAAAGTATAGATCATCAATGGCAACCTACATATATGAGTCATGACAGGTCTCTTTTAAGAGGTAGAGGAGTCTGACTCTGATTGTTAATCTCTAACACCACCAGCCGGATAATCTGATATTCTGGAACTTTCTTTGCTCATGATGTCATGCCATCTCATAATTGAAATTAAAGGAGAACTATGAGGCGACTGCTTTCCACTCACCTCATAGTTCTAGCCGACCTGTGACAATGAGACCCGTCACAGGTCGGCTCAGTAGATCGGGAGGTGAGCGAACACATACCGGCGTTCGCTCACTTCTCCATCCTGTCACGGCTCTCTGCCGTGACAGGGGAGGGACTGGATTCCCCTCTCCCCACTCTGATCCGCCAGCGCTGACTGGCGGAACGGACGGGGGAGGGGTCGGGTACAGCTGGCTCTGCCTCTAGATAGGCAGAGCCAGCTGTCACTCACGCAGCTGGGCGGTTCCAGACATCGATGTCGGGATCCGCTCCGGCTGCGGCGTCCCAGTATACCGCGAGCTGTAGCTCGCAGTATACTGAGCCTAGGGTAACGGGAGGACGCTAGTTTGTGTCCTCCCGTTACCCTAAGGAGAACTATGGGGAAAAGCCCGAACCCCATAGTTCTCCTTTAAGAGATCAGAGAGTTCTATGTTTTCTGCCCACACCAGAAAGTGTTGTCTCTTCCTCATCCATCTAATGATCACACAGCACCCCATTCTGATCTCCTCCTACTACAGTGACCCTTCCCCAGACCACCCGTACCATCTCCAGACCCCCGTACCATCCCCAGGTCCCCTGTACCATCCCCAGACCCCAGTACCATCTCCAGACCTCCGTACCATATCCAGACTCCCCTACTATCCCCAGATCCCCGTA